TTGGGCCTATGGATCACAATCGTCTAATCCGCAAATGATCATGAGGATGGCGCGAGACCAGGCAGCGTATTTGTGCACCAGGTTGCTGTGAGTTGTGGGGCTGACTCAACGACAGCTAACAACCAGGTACCAGGCACTAAGTACTGGGGACAGATACAAATGTGAATAAAACCTCAATCTTGGTGCTCTCTTTTGATCTCCGATTTGTAGTACTAACACCTCTGAATAGATATTTCTAAAAATCCCTAGGTCATATCTCATTCCCACTTCCCAGTTCTTACTCGTGTATCTTAAAAAGGGCACTTAATAAAGGTAAGGAGCAATGGAGGAATGGAAGAGAGAATAGGACTCTGCCAAATTTTTTGATCTCTGGAGAGTTTGGACCTCGCACAGTCTTGCCAGTTACGTAGCCACAGGCAAGTCTGCATTGAGCCAGCTCTGGGCTGAAACCCACACCAGCTTTATTACGTCTATGTTCTTTCCATGGCAATACCCACCAATGCTCCAAGGAAGCTTAATCTGCTTCTGGGGGGGTGGGTGGGGACCAGGATATAGACACACAGCCGACAATCTTCAAGAGGAAGAATGTAGGTCAGCATCTTTGCCACTACTCCATGTGAAGCAGCCTATGATCATGGCAAAAACTAGTAACCACAAGCCCATCTCATCCTGCTAAAAATCCCACCACCTTCCTGTAGTCTCAGCTTCAGTGAGAATAGCCCGCAAGGAAAGGACTTTCTTCCTCCTCTCAAGCTGCTCCCTGGCTGTCTGAATTACACTTAAGACTTTGCTGACAAGCATACATCAGTTTTTCTCCCACAAGGGCAGCAGAAGCCAGGCAGGGATTCTAAGCCTGCTTTACGCATCATTGACAGAACCAACCCTGTTCCAATTGCTGAAGTCTTAAGAGCAGCAATGACCTAGAAATTGACAGTGGGGGGAGAACTGAAGGGAAGGAAGCTAACAAACCAATATATAGAAAACCCTATTTCCAAATACCAGGGGAAAGGGAGAGAGGAGGTAGAGAGAAAAGAAATTTGGCCCCTTTGAATCTGCAAATGTGATCTTGGCTGGAAGCCACGGAAGATTTGTAGCAGCCCCACTGCGAGTCAAGCCATGTTCCTGACTCAAGCCCCAGTTAAGAGGAAGGCGCCAAGCCTCAAACACAATGAGGTGGGGAGGCCACTCCTTTTTGGGCAGGATCCTACTGTGGACACAGAACAGACAGCAGCTGCCCACAGTGTGGAAACAAACTGTAAAGCAGTCACGTCTCTTAAGGCAGCAGCATCCAATAAAATGTAATTTAAATCAACCCTCGCATCTGTTCTCAATCCCATTCAGTCTCTGCTTTCCCTCAGCCTTCGGACAATCTTTGCAATTATGTTTGTTAACCCTTATAGACCCAGACACTTTCCATCCTTCTAGGTATGAAACCGTGTTCCCCACTTGCAAATGACCCTCAGATGGGATGAGTGCTCTCATAAAGGAGTGTGAGAATGGGAATGGCATTTAGACTTAGGTCTACAGACGATCCTCTGCTACACACACCAGTGGGCAGTGTTCATTTCAGAGGGTTCTCTCTCCTCACCCTTCTTCTATCCCATACCACCTGCTGTAACACGGATCACATTGCAGGGATACGGTGAGCAGAATGAATGAAACAGTGGCCAACAGATCATCTGTACACATATCAAGTTCCCAAACTCAAGTCCATGTCAGGAAGGCAGGCAAGCAGACGTGCTCAGGGAGAAGCAGAGACTTGGTCTCTGGCTCTCAAACCATTCACCTCACACATGGTTTGCATTCCAAGCATTTGCTTGAGTTACAAAGCATAGCAACCTCCCATAGGAATCAAACTTCAGTACTTTTTTCCCCTACCCTCAAAAGAAAAAGTACCCCAGCCCCAAGTCTGCACTTTTAACGCAGTCAGTGTTATAATGGCGCCCTCTGGTGTCCCTGCCACAAATTGCCACTGGAAATCAAAGCCAGAAAAGAGGAATCTTGAGTAACCATATGGATTAATTTATCTAATACCGGAAAAATATGTGGTTTAGACGAAACTCCAACCCTAAACGAAGCCATCTTGAAACAAGCTGCTTCGTCCAGGGGCAGCTAAGACTGTGAGACAGTTGGGAATTTTCATATTGTCTTCTGAAAGCTTGAGCTCTCTTAAAATGTGATTGCTTAAGCACAACTGAAGAACGTAATTGATGTCACTGAATTGTACATGTAGAAATTTTTGAAATGGTATATCTTTGGCTATGTATATTTTCACAAAAAAAAAAGGTCCTCCAAGGTTGAGAAGGGAGAGTGTTGATGTGTCATGGGGTTGTTAACCAATGTCATAAAACAATATGTGTACTGACTGTTTAATGAGAAACTTTGTTCTGTAAACCTTCACCTTAAGTACAATAAAAGAAATTTAAAAAAAAAAAAGTGATTGCTTAGAAAGACAAAGAATGCAACTTGAAAATAAATATATTCACAATCGAATGTTACATTCTCCTTAACCACCCCCACAATCTTGGGAGTGCCCAAGAAACTCAACAAGTCTTTAAAATGTCACAGTGTGGTAGTATCTGCAATGTGAACTCAGTATACTCCAAAAAGAAATAAATTATTTGACCAAAATGTCCTCCAAATCTCCATGTGGACTTATTTTCTTGAGTCATCCTTTTTCATTGTTCTTACTCTATCCCCAAATTTCTTAACAAAATATACTGATGTTTGAGGAAATTAAGAGGTAAATACGTGTACATTCCACAACACAAATCTGTATACTTGCAAGTATATTGGTAGGAGACACAAAAGTGGTAGAGGTAGTCAAAGTAATTAAAAAGGGTCTACTTGGTCATTTTTATGGGTAAAAATAAAAAGACCCAAAGATATGATTCTGTGCCAATACTCACAGATTTGTAGATTAAAATTAATTGGTTTCAAGTAAAAAGGTCATATTTGTTTTCAGATCTGAAAATAAAGTATTAAAATGAACCTCTGTAGCTCTCTAAATGCCAGATGGATATTTTTGGATGGGGTATTAAGAGTTAAGAGGAGAATTTAAGGCAATCCAGTAGTTAAGATATTTCCAATGAAAGCTTTGTCTTTCAGAGCATGCTCTATTTCCTTCTCTTCAATCTTCAAAAACACCTGGAAAGAGAAAAGGATTTCTCACCCTGCAGAACTCACAAAAGCAAAGCTGTTACTACACAAACTTATACCATGTGAAATTTTTCTCACAAGACGCAAACAAGTTAAACACTGCTTTTTCTCATCAGAATAGTAAGCTGTTTACTCCTATAGAATGAAACTTAATGTCAGAGAGACAAAATTCTCCTTGAAAAAAATCTCATTCACATCGTACCCCCATTCCCACACACTTCAAACTCCACCTAACAAAAACCAAACTGTTTATCTAATTGGGGTCATTTTTTAATCTTTACTTTAGCAAAGAATAAGCTCTCCAGAACAGGACAATTAAAAGCACCATCAGAAAGAAGCAGTTAGTTGTACCTTTGTGAAGCGGGCTTCCTTGTTTTTCTTTAATCCTAAAATGCCCCTGGCCTCCAAGAGCTCTGAAAGTGACAAACACTCTGACTGGTCCACAGATGCCACCTGCTGTTTTCGACAGACGTTACTATAGGCTTCATATAACTGGGAGGAAACAAGGGAGAACAAATATTGCTTAAAAGTCACATCTTATCTCCTGTTACCATACAATCTTTTAAAAGACATGAGTCTGGGCTTGCAAAAAAGTTATCTTAATATACGATTTCCCCTTTTCAATATGATAAATTCTCAACCACAACCCAAGGGAAATAAAGTTAGCTGCTTTCTATATAGTACCAGTATTTACTCTTTCTGTTAAAAATCCATTTTTAATTCATATCAGCTGGAGCCTAACAGGCCTTTTGGAAAATATCTGCTCTATGAAGCAGATTCTCATCTCTACCCAGTTCCATCTGCTGAGATGCCCAACTTACCTTCCCCATAGTGACCTCTTTGATTTTCAACTGCCTGCTCAAGAGCACTAAAGAACAGACTAAGATCTTCTGCTGAAGAGGGAAGGAATCTTGTGCTCCTTCTTGGCCCAAAGTCATCCTGTTACCATCAACTTCTGAAATAACTCGGGATATGTGAGTAAGACCAACCCGCTTGGGAACCAGAGCCTCAGAGGATGACTTACCTATAAAGTAAATAAATCAAGCTTAATTAGATTTTTAAAGTAGTGTGTATACATGTGTGTTGAGACCAATGATACTATTTTTTAGCTGCAGGAAATTCAAGTATAGTCATGTGGTAGCAAAGCAGGGGTTCCAACTCTCTGGAAGCCAAAGGATGAAAGGGAATACTGGTATGGATTGAATTGTGTTCCCCAAAAGTTATACTGAAGTCCTAACCTGTGTACCTATAACTATGACCATGTTTGGAAATAGAGGTTTTTCTTTTGTTATGCTAACAAGGACATGTCAGAATAGGGTGGGTCGTAAACCTAATCCCTTTCGAGTGATGTCTAATAAAGGAACACCAAGGATTCTGGCAGCCACCAAAAACCAGGAGAGAGAACCACAGAAGCAATCGACACAGCTGAGACCCTGATTTGGACTTTTAGTCTCCAGAACTGTGAGAAAATAAATTTCTGTTCTTTAAAGCCATCTATGTGTGGTATTTTTGTTATGGCAGCCCTAGGAAACCAAGGCAAATACTATCCTCAGAAAGATCCAAAATAATGTAGGGTGACTTGGAAAGTAGAGTTATTCTTTTCCTGGTCAGAATAGTAAGCTATTTTGTCCTGTAGAATGTTATTTAATGTCAGAGAGACAAAATCCTCCTCAGAAAAGAGTAACGGCCAGACAGAAAACTACTGTATTCTGCCTTGGGAGTTCCTGATGTCTCAAAGGTAAAGAAGAAAAGAACCTTGAAGCAAAGATGATGACTGTGCTTGGTAATTAATAAAGGAAAAAAAGTTTAAAAAATTACCCAATCGTTTGAGTCAAATGAGGGGCAAAATGTGGACTGTAAAGTCAGTCCCATCAGTCCTCCAGACGGCCTACCCAAATGACCTTTGAGGTTTGGTTCACTTGCCCAAGCAGATTTGCAGTAGAGCAACACTTGAGAAAACATCATTGGATATCTTACCAGATAGCACCATCTCAAAAGCCGGAGGTTGGGAAACTGCCAAGAAGCTGCATAGGACTATGGCCTCATTGTTTGGAGATGCCCGAATTGCAAGACGGAGGAGGATTTGCCCTGTAACAACCTCTGCCTGAAGTTACTTCCTGAGACCATTTGCAGTTCCCCCACAACAATTTTCTACTTCATTACAACAAACAGGATGCTGCAGAGGACTACTAGCAGTAGAGGAACCAAAGATCACTGATCAAATAACAGAATCTTAAAGTTGAAAGGAATTTAAAGGTCTATTCTTGCTCCCTACCAGACAGCTGAGTCCCCTATAAAATAATCCCAACAAGTGGTCATCTAGCCAGTTTTTGTTTAAATATCTTCAATGCTGGGGAACTCACTATGTTTCAAAGAAGCCCAGTGAGTTCTATTTATTAGAAAGTTTCTTCTTTTATTTGGTTGACGTCAGGTCTCTATAGCTTTCTGGAACCATTAGAAGCCAATCCCACACATATCAGAAGTCAAAAGACAGGAATTACATTAGTCTAACAATTTATGCCAGGAATTTACAATCTGTATTATCTGTGTGTGCACTCATGGGGGGCACTGACAAGCCTAAATGTTATTTGGAAGGGAAAAAAAGAATAATCTGAAAAGCTGAAGAGGAGGAAGAAACCAGTATCTAGCTTATACATTGGCATATATTGCCTACCATCAACCTAAGCACTACGTTTGCCTACTTCTGAAATATTTATTATTAATTTTATTTTAACAAGTCGATGAAAAGAAGTTTTATGTAGAACTACAGTGCTAGAAACAAATTTAATAACTCCCAACCAGTGCAGGGGTAAAGGAAGAAACAATCAAATCAGACTGTCCTGTTTCTAAAGATTAACACTGGAAATTAAAAGCTGACAAGATACATGGTTCATGGCCATTTGACATCTGCCACAGCCAAGAGAGCAAGGCTGAGGGAAAGGAAAATTAATTATGTCATTTGTAATAGCCTGCGGTTTACTGCAGCAATATGATCTTTGTACTTCTACTCTCCTGGACTTGTTTAAAGACTTGAGATATCCCAAGCTGAACTCACAATTCTTTCACCCGACTCTCTTTTATTTACCGGGACTTACTTTCACTTGTATCGAGACCCAAAGTGCACTCAACATAAGCACACAGAGAGAGGCTGGTTTGACATTATTGTCTACAGTTTTCATTCCTAGAGCTTGGGAAGAAAACTTTCTCTGTCCCAGCCGTTTATGTAACACCCTAGGGAACTCATTTCCAGTAATGCATGGACTATATGGTACCAGCAGGCAAGACTGAAACAAGGAAGATGAAACTGACCAAAAACACAGACATAAAAATGGGCGGATGTGGATTTAACTACGCTCATGTCATCTTTCAGAAAAGTTAAGCTTCCAACACCAAAGGAAGACAGGAAGGAGATAAAACTACTTACATTCAGACAGTGGTTTGAGGATAGTCTGGCTTTTGACATCCGACTCTACAATTTCAATAGCTCGTCTATAAAAAAAATAGTTCTACAATTAATTTAGGCTGAGCCAAACCAAACACCACACCAAACCACCAAGCTCAAAACCAGGCACATTAACTAAAAAACAGTATGTTTTATCATTTTAAAGCCCCCAAACAAAACTGGGTTATGTCTCAGCCAAAGGGGACTTAATTGCCTTGGAATAATTCATGGACCAAGGAATTCAAGAAACTTCAACACTACACGGTTTCCTCTTATAGATGCCAAGTAGGTCACATCATACATGGAACATTTTGGACAAGGAGAAAATGTCATGGATGAGGGAGAGGAGATGCAATGTGGGTGACTAAGGAGAGTAAGCACAACCCACATACATTAGACCTACGGGGGAGTTCTTGGTTATATCTACATGGGATTCATGTAGGCTAAACCACACCAGCCTACACGACTCATAGTTGCAGTCTCTACCCAAGTAGTTTGCTGACGAGGGTAGACTTTCAAATCCAGGATCATGCCATCTAGCAAGAGGAAGAGCTCACTCTCCCACTGCTCTCTCTAAAGTGCTTTGCCCACAGGAAGCCATAAGCCAGACCTGGATCTTCTGCATGACAGTAGAAGGAGGTTGGACCAGTGGGCCAGCACAGCAAGTATCATTTTAATGGACCCAGTGTCCCTACTGGGAAGGAAGAAATTTCATCAGTCAGCACGGGATGCTTTCCCCAGCAGGAGGGGCAGGGGGATGCGAAGAGAGAGCAGTCTGGAGTACAACTGTGAGGCCCACCAACTGGAGGGAAGTGGTGCTCACGAAAGCAAAGGAAGAGGGAAAAAAGTCTAAAGGCAAAGATGGTTCAGGTCCATAAATAAACCTGCTTGAGACCAGCTAATGGAAAAGTAAACTGGAGTCTTTTTTAATACAAATGTAATTAACCAATCTATAATCACCACAGGGAGTGCCAGCAACATCTCATTTGTTTCTCCCTCTGTAGGTAATGGACTGATAATGTTTCAGACATTAACACCGTGGAAATGCAGAGCTCCCCACTGAGAAACAAGTCCTCCTTTCTGAGCATAAAAAGTAGCAGAATGAAGCCTCTTAAGCCATATTCACTTGAGTTACATGAGACAATTAACAGCATTTCTTTTTTTAATAAAAGCGACCAACAGTGCCATAACTCACCTGCAAACATCTAGCGCTTTGCGAACATCTCCTGACACAGCTGAGACTTTGCGAGCACAGAACTGAATTGCAGCGTTATCCAGAACCTGATCTCTAGACACCTTCAGACAACACCAAAAAGATGACAGTTTGGACTATAAGATTTCCCTTCTCTGGAATCTAGGTCCCAGTCATAAATATTTTCAGTTAAGTCTAAGCTTGATTGGCCACCCTATGGTCTAAGAGATGACTTCTGCTCATAAGTAAATGGAGATGTTTGAGAGAGAGAATTTTCACATGTTTAAACATTTTGTAGGAATATGGCAGAGGTTCAGAAATGGAAAAAAGCAATTAAACTTAGCAAAAGGTTTTCATAGGCCCTATTTTTAAGGGCTAAGGAAGCACTTGAGTGATTCCTCTAATTCCTGTTTTATTCTAATACTGAGCCATATAAATAGAACCATATGTGGGAATTCATACAAGTGTTTTCACTATGGCCCATAGAAACTCAACTGGTAAAGCAATCAATGCAAAAATAACTTAGAAGCATTGTTACATTTTCCCACCACAGGTGATCCAAAAAACATATTTTGGCACAATGGTTGGCACTCACCTGATTAAGTCGATCCTGCAAGATAGTGGCTATCTGATTTCTGGTATAAGGTGGGAAGTTTAACAGCTGTGGCTTACATTTTTCTCTAGCTTGAAGCCTAGGCAGAATTCTGTCTGTGAGATCCAAGGTATTAGCAATACCTGAGGAAGAGATAAATAACATTAATCATTGGCCAAATCATCCTAAGAAAAAAACCAAACACTTTGAAAGCTAAATAAAATTTCCAGTTATAATCCAGCATTCCAGTTGAATTGTTTCCCAGTTAGCCCCCAACAGCCATTAGTTACGATGTACATAGTCATCATAGAATGTTCTTTTTAAGTTAGGTATAGAATTGTTCCTGATAAGCAGGACCAGATACCCCAAAATCAATGGCCTCTGAAATGCAATATAATGTCATTTCTACTCAGACTTAACAAGATTGATTTGCCTTAGATTAAACTTACTATTTAGAGTAGTTTTCTTATTTTGACACGTAAGCAGAAAGCCGGTTTTAGGTAAAATAGGTGATAAGTAAGCTGAACAGAGATAATGGAGAACACTTTAGAACCACATGTAACATGAACAACTGAGTACTAACCAATCAACACCAATCGAGAGTTGCTTAGCCATGGCCATTCAAACAGTGTGTACAATACATCCTGCCCTTTGCTGTCCAGCTGATCCATCTCATCCAACACCAACACACTACATATAAAGAGAAACAATTAGTATCCGGGTTCATCTTCTTAAACCTCCAATCTGTTTGGTTTGGGCTGATGTTAGGTTACCTTCTTGAAGCTAAAACCAGTGTGAGATCATCATCCGTCCTATTTCCATTCATTGTTAAAATGACATGACAACCTCTCCTCATGAACAAGTAACTTCCAGGTATCTTCAAACAATTAGTTTAAAGACATTTTTTCCAATTTATAACTAGAAAAGTGTATAGAAGGTATATTTTTCTTCTTTCCCTTTATGTTTATGTAACTGCCTCTCATATATCGAACATAGGAAATGTTGTTTATGAGTAAACTGACAATCCAAAAGACCAGAATGTGAGTTTGTGGGCAACAGACCTTGCAGATTTTCAAAGCACAACATGCAGCAGAGCAATACTTACACCATGGGGCCCTTCTCGGCAGTCATATGTTTTTCTAACTTCCTCATCATGTCCTTCCCAGCTGGCCTGGATACTCCTTCCTGACAAATCTCCTGAGCAATAGCTGGGAATACAGCCTGCGCACTCCTTAAGGACATGCAATTCAGCATGATAGTTTTAAAGCCTTTCAGTTCCTTCTAGAAAAACACAAACATGAGAGAGTTACTTTGGTCTCAGATAAAGATTTGATGGAACCTAGACTGTCTTTGAGGAACTAACAGCATACAAGACCAGAAGCTCCACTTTCATTTGGAAAGACAAAAACAATGAGAAATGAAAAATTCCCTATTCTGGGGAAAACTTCAATCCTCTAAGTACTTCTATTCTTTCTTAACCCTCAATAACCATGTTTCATTCTAGCACGAGCATCATAATCCAGATTCTCAATGTACCTTGAGGTCTTGCAGAATTCGGCTTAAGCAGGCAGTTTTTCCAGTTCCAGGAGCACCAGAAAGATAAAGACTTCCAGCTTTTTTTCCACAGATGTGCTCCCTTAGGAAACTCCTGATGACATCCATCTCCGTTTCCCTGGCAGGCAGCCGATCCGGGACAGCTGTATTCAGGACCAGCTTTGCTTGCTGGTAGCAAGAGCCTGTGCCAGACACGAAAGGACAATTAGACACAACAGAAGGTGACTAAGAAGACCCACTGGGTTTCATTTGGAGTCATCAGCCTTGTTTATAAGAATGCACTAACAGCTGCCATTTAAGAACAAACCTTCTTGTTTGAATAGTCCTATACATTCAGATTCTTTCTCCAGTGGACATCTCAGCTCAGAATTTGTTGTAATCTCTTGACCTTTTCGAACCGAGGAAAGTATTTTGTTTCGGTGAATGCTGGCTTGTTCTCTTTTGCTAGGAGACTTAACTGTCCGCTGATTGTCAAATACCAGTTTGCGCCCCTTAGGCATATGTGAGCTAGGGGGACCATTCTCTTTCTTGCCTTGCTTTGGTGGAGAACAGGAAGGTAAACGGGGAGTGTTGCACAGGTTGTCAGCACCTGAAATATATTAAAATCAAAATGTGGTCATTCATAGCACTGGACAGTAAAAGGACTTGCAAAGACTTCTGGCTCCTCCAGAAAGATGTGAATTTCTACCTGGGTCTGAACCACCAAAAGAGAATGCTTTATCGCTAGGAACAAATATTGGCCACCAGATGGCGCAACTGAATTTTACTAGGGAGAAACCAAATGGGTTTTAGTGGGAAGAGGTTCTAAGATTGTTCTAACAGTATTTCTCAACTTGGGCACCACTGACATCTTGGAAGGGATAATTCTTTGTTTGGGGGGGGGGTTCCTGTGCACTGTAGGATGTTTAGCAGCCTCCTTGGCTTCTAACCACTATGCTAGAAGCACCCACTCAGTTGTGTCACAATCTCTCAGTTGTGACAATCAAAATGTCTCCAGATACAGCCAAATCATCCCCTCCCCATTAGAAACAGCTGCTCTAAAACAAGAAAGCGTTGCCAACTACTGTTCTAAAACAAGAACTGAAAATATCCAGGATGCCACCTACTTGCTTCTCCTAATTTCACAAATACTGAGGCAAATTTCCAAAATACTATATAACTGCAAGGTCATTTAAAACATTGTCAGAACTAAGTACAGTATTAAGGAGAAGTTGAGAGCTACTAGCTCAAGAATTGTACCTAAAAGACAGATAGCTTACCTAGACGTTTTCTGGGGCTGAGAGGCAGAATTTTTTCACAAGGAGAACGTGGTATAGCCTGGACACGTGTTGGTTCTAGTTTGGTGTCACTACAGTTTTTAGCTTTGTCCAATGTCCGAGACAACTTCTTTTTGGGAAAATTGATGGTAGCCTGTGACTGGGATCGGGTTCGAGGCATAATGGCAACACAGCTAAGTGTGAGAAAGAACCGGACGGGCAGTCAATATATACAAGTGAAGGGAAAAGAACCTAACATGCAAGTTCTTTAAACTGTTGTTCACTGGTGCTCATGACCAATGGCCACTTCATGAGTAAATTACATTATAGCAATATTTTAGCATTCAGTTCTGCTTCCTATCCAAATGGATACAGTAATAGCTAACACTGAATGTCTACCTACTGTGTATAAAAAGCTGTTATAAGCATTTAACATATATTAACTTATTTAAGTTTTACAACTGCCCTAAGGTAGGTACTATTATAATCCCTGTTTTACAGATGAGGAAACAGGCACGGAGGCCCAAAGTCACATATCGAAAAGTAGGAAATCAGGGACATAACACCAGGTACTCTAGCTCCAGAGTCCAAGTTCTTAACCACTTGAACGATATTGCTTCTTATGCAATAAGAAGTTTATTTTAACTGATTTCTATAGTACGTCTAATTCCCTCACTCCAGGCAGCGGAATATCTTTATCACCAGCTTAGCCCAGCAACCTTCCACATTTAGTCTCCCCCAGTTCTTCCCTTTGCCTCTGCACTCAGTCCTCACTCAACCCCCACCCCGGAACATCTCCCTCCTACAGCATTCAGCTTCTTTACACCACGCCCAGCTGCCAGAACTCCTCTGAGCGTCCACATTCCCTCCTCTGACCCTGACCTCAGACCTCACCTAATCTCAGCTCTCCTCCCCTCACTTCACTCTAGCCTCACAGGATCCCACAACCCTCTCCCTAACCCTCACGGAACTCCGCGGCTTCCCAGACCCCAGGCCTCCCCGAGCACCTTTCTCCCCCACAATCCTCTCCTTTCCACTTCACGGGGCTTCGTCACCTCAGCGCAGGCTTTTTCTCACGTCTCACACAAACGGCCTCAGAGATTCTCCACGACAAGCTTCAGCACAGATATCGGCAGCAGCTAACCCCTTCCGCGCTCGCGCCAAATCTGCAGAACTGCAGCGCTCCCGCCTCCCGCCAAAGCCCGACCAGGCTTCTGATTGGCCGTCGCAAGGGCGCCACGCGCCTCGGCCACCGCCCCTTTTCCTTCTCCCAGTCCAACAGGAAGGCCCAGAGCCAATAAGAGACTCCCAGGTCTCGGCGCCACCGTGAGGCCACGCCCACTGAGTGGTGAAGGCATCTGCATCCGGGGCCTGCGCGGAAAGACGGGCCGTTGCGGTGAGGGCGGCACTGGTTAAGGCGAACTCGCCACACCGCGAAGCCCACCGGGAGGTGTAGTCTTTGCCCCACGCAACTCTGAAGTTCCGCGCTTTTCTGTCTGTGCGATGTGTAAAGATGTGGTGACCCTTTTTCTTGCCTAACGTAGCCATTTTAATTACCCTGATGCACTAGATTTTCACAGAGCTACTACGTTAATACCTACCATTTATTGAGCGGGTCTGTGTGGTTGGCACGACGCTAGGCGCTTAACTCCCTAGTCTTCCACAAAGCAAATGTGCAAACGGTAATTAGAGGTCACAGCACCTTGGTGCTGGCGTAGGACCCAAATTTCTTGCTACCCAAGACAATGGTTTTTGTAAAGTTCTACACATACTTAAATTACACTATATCACAGTATCTCACTGATTGGTGCTTCAAAGGTGACTAGGGCCAGACCTCTGCTTTTATTTGTTCAAGGTAAGAACTATTACATTCTGTACACCTTGTTATCATTAATTCCATTAATCCACACATTATAAGGAGTGGAGAGAATTATGGTCCTTTAAAATCTTTTTTTTTTTTTTTTTTTAAATGGCTAACCACTAGGGTTTCAGGGCCGGGAAAGCTATAGAAAAACAGGCAAGCTGAGCTTTTAATGAAAAACATAAATTAGAGCTGTAATTTACAGGCTAGCTTCCAATGCTAATACCTCATCTAAGCCTCAGGTTCCTTTAAAGGCCAAAACCTAATTCGAGGTGATGGTAAACATTTATCTTTTATCTTTCAATATCAAATGAAATAGAACCATAAAGCCAAGAAATAGGAAAGCAACTATTAGAGCCAGCACTTAATTGTAGTTAGTTCATACAGATGAGCCAATATTGAGTGCTTTAAGTGTATGCCAGGGGCTGGGCTCAGTATTTTGCCTATTATCACATTAATCCTCCCTCACAAGCACCCCACGAAGTTAGTATTATTTCCATTTTACATATGAGGAAACTGAAGTAGAGGTGGTTGAACAAACACACTAGTAAGTGGAAGACCTGGATTTGAAGCCGGGAGATCAAACTCCTGACCACTTAATCACAGAGGGAAGATTAGACAGATGCAGTTTCTAATATGGCCTTCTAATTAGGAAGAGATGGTGAACGGAATATCTAGCAGCGGAAAACTACCAAGAGGAAAGAAAGCAGGCTGCCATGAATGGAAAAGAGCTTACATACTATAGAGGATTTAGACCAGTGGACATTTCTGGTCTCTTTAATTGGGTAATAGAACCCAGAAAGCAACCTTCACCATTTTTATAAACTGGACACCTAAAAAATTGTCCTTAATAATCTGAAATAAGGTGTGCCCAGACAGCTTTAAGAGATGGTGGTAGAGTACAACCTACCCCATTACAGTGGGACACAGGGAGTAAAGAAGCCTGTGAGTACTTAATGTGCATCTTGGAGCCTATGAAAACACACACCAGGAAATACAGCACTTGTTAAAGAAAAGCCTACAAGAGTAAATAACCACTGTGGAAGCAGGGAGAATTACAGAATGTCAGGACTGAAAGGGCTCTAGGTTACCTACTTGAAGCTTGCCCTTTCTAATGCTTCAGTAACATCATGCACACACCACCACCGTTTCTCACTTCTGTGCCTTTGTCCATGCTGTTTCCTCTGTCTGGAATGCTGATCCATCCTCCTTCCCTGGCTAACTCCCCTGAAGCCTTTTAATACCCTGCACAGGTTTCTCCAGGTAGCTATGTTGAAGTCTTCTCCTACCTAGACTATGAGCTCTTTGGTAGCAAAGGCGTGCTCTACTATCTTCATATTGTGGATGCCTGGCACAGAGTAAACATGCAGTAAATGCTTGCTGAATAAAGGGATGGAAAGGACATTCCTGACAAGGGGGCATCCACCCTTTGCATGAACATTTTTTCTAGCTGGATAGCATATAGTCTTTTAAATCTCACATGCACACACTCCTAAACCTAAGAGTGAAGAATGAATTAAATTATGTACAAAACTAGACTGGGCTCCAGTGATGTCAGAGGCAAAGCACTTCCCTATAGTTGTCCTCTAGGGCAGTCTGGGCCCTGAGATATTTTAGTTCTCTTAATATGTTTGCAGAGCACTAGGAAGTCAAGGACAGGTAGCCTCCCTACAATGAGTTGCACAGTTTGTGGCTGAGTTGGGCCGGGAAATAAGAGGCACATTCACCGTAAGTAGCTATGTCTCAGAAATACAGTGAGCAAACAAGTGTCCTTATCACCTGCCAACTCATACAGTGTTACGGAGGAGGAATCAAATCACACTGGAAGGACTTGTCTGGCATCCTTTTGTGTGAGTGTCCTCATGTACACACACACAGACTAACAATACCATCCCAGTAAAGCCTGGAGGGTTAGGAAGTTGAGGGTCATTATACTCCATTTGAATGCCATTTAAAGTCACAGGAGGAACAGTTATTAAATCAATAAATAGGTAGTTTATTAATCATATTAATAACAATGATGGGTCAAATAATTAGGAGTTCAGCCAATCTGGTAAGTATGGATGAAAATGAAAGAAGGGCTTTCTTCCCCTCCCTCCCCAACCCTCGAAGGTTTTTATATCTAATTATGTGCGTGATTCATAGACACACCCATTATGAATCAGTATGGGAAATAATTTCAAGACCTTTGCTAGTGACGAAAGTGCAAGTTGAGCTCAGTGGTTCTTATGACAGCTGACCACAGTAAGCAGAGAATGCCTGGTTGAATTTTTACACCTAAAGTCAAAGTTCAAGAAAGTGACCTAAGGTTTCAACTAAAAAGCAGTGAAGAAAAACAGCCAACACCCACATAAAAACAGAAACACAGTCTGCTCTGCCCCCATCTTTTCTTCCACTCTTCAATTTGAGAACCTGTCATGCAACATAGGTAGAATCATAAAAAGGGATATCAGGAGAGGATACAGAGGGCCTTCTGGGTACAGAAATCAAGGGCAAAAGGGAGTTACATGGCAAATAAAAAATAACGTCCAACTCTATCAGAATCACCTCGTCAGCCTGGTTAACTAGAACTGTTATTTTCAAAATAGCGCAAAAGGGGAGGAGAGAAAACACTTGATGTCTCAGGCGCCTCCGCCCTACTACATCTGCTTTCGGGGTGGGGGGGCCCTGGAGTCAAACCACTACACTAACCTGGACTATGAGGCAACAGATTTCATTCCCTCTCTCAGCCACCACTTGAGGCAGTATTCCAGACAAGAGTACAGTTTTGTTTTGTTTTGTTTTGAAATAAGATTTAATTAAACTGCATGGCATTCAGAAGAAAGAAATGTACCAAAGAATACAACCTGAGACCGGATTATACATCTTGGGGGGGAGGAGTGAAGGGAATCAAGGGTATTTGGGAGGAGCACTGTAATCAGAATATAACTCCAAAATAAATCATATAATAAATTATTTTTTTAATTGATCCACATACAGACACACACACACACACACACATTCACACATGTCATTCTAGTCTTTTATTCAGTGTTGACTGTGACTTCCATGCTGGTCATCCTGGGAAAGGACAGCGGTTAGAAATTCAGAAAAAATGCTAGGCCCCTCTGCCACCGTGGAATAAAATTTAAGACAATTAGAGGGAACCCACTAGGTTGTCAGAAACAGAAAGAAGAAAACAGCAGTTATCAAGGAAGATTTTAATTGCTTCAAAGAGGAAGAGAGGAAGAAAGCACAGAAATTTCTAACACAAGTAAAGGCACAATGAACGTGGAGTTGAATGGAACCAAACTCTGCCTTCAGTTAAACAGCTTTTTTTTAAAAAATGTTTCTGAAAGTGATTGTTTTTAAGAGATGAGTTGTGAAGGCAGAGTTGTATGGCCCTCTCTCTCTCCCCTCCCATTCCCTAAAGGGTGGCTGGCAAAAAGCCAGCTTGAACACACAGCCAGGGACTGAGATTCAATAGGGAAAGAAAGACTTCGACTGGAATGTGAAGAATTAGATTCGCAATTGGTCGCAGGTCAGGTTTCCAGAAGGACACAGCTCAATGTAGTGCCATTAAAGGGCCTCAGATGTCCTACACTCCACCCCCTAGAGCTTTGCAGAAGGGAAGAACCCTGGAGTCATACTTCTCCCCGACTCCCATAACCAGCCTACAGATTATTTCAAGTGATCAGGAGAATAAAAACACACCCCAACCCTGAGTTGCCCTACTGTAGCAAGTCTATTTACAACTTTTTTCTCACCTCTCCCTGGAGGTAAATCTGGGTTTCAAGTTGGGAGGCTGTGGGGTGAAGAGATTCCCCCAGTGCAACGGCCAGTGACTAGTCTCCTTGTCTTTGCCAACTGGGAGGGCCGGGATGGAGCAGCCTCACATCCATCAGGTAGGGTAGCACTCTCACTCTGGAGACCCAGGTTATGGAAATGACGTGGCTTTGTGCAGTAGTTGGAGTAAATCCCCACACTAAAGAAAATCACACGTGGAATATCAAAGTGCTCTGGTCCAGGTTTGGTGACCAGGGAGAGGGGGAAGAGAGGCATTTAGCTCATTTAAAAACCTGGAGGCCGCGGCCCTCCTTACCAGACAGAGCGGTAAGAATCAACTATGTTTTCCCACCAGGGAAAAATACCACAAAACCCAACCCACACAAGGGCTTTTAACACCACAGATTCCTGATGCTTAACTGGGCAATGTCTCTTCCTTTGGGAGGGGGCAAGGGAGTTAATGGGACTGGGCAACAGCCTCAACATGAGACCACCCAATCTTCCACTGAAGAGACGACAGTCTCACAAGCAGATAAAAAGAGCAGTTTAAAAGGTGAGAAGCTTTAGTGCTCTTGCAGCCAGCCCACCTTAAACCTGTATTACAAGCTTTTTACAACATACAAAATAGATCAATAACTATGAGGATCACATTCTCAATCTTCAATAGTAAATATACATGATAATAAATCTGTTATTAACAGCAAGACCAAATAGTGTATAAGGCAAAAACATTTAAATAGGTACTGTGTCACCACCATGCTCTGAAAAAGAAAACTCTTCTAACTAGATCTAGGCCCAGGCCCTTTTTCAGGAGGCCGATACAACACTAATACAATTAATACCCATGTGACACAGTCCAAATGCTGAGGAATATGAGGGCAGCAGGTCAGATGAGAGGATGATGACAGCCCCAATGAAAAGCTGGGGTTTGGCTTTTACTTGTGATACTTATTTTGATGCTCTAAGTTTGAGTACAGGAAAAAAAAAAAAAGATATACTTTGATAACATCGTACAAAAGGCATCAATTCCCATTTCAAAAATAAATGGGAAGACTTCACAGTCAAAGTTCAGTAACTTGTCAGCATCTACCCTGGAACCCAGCTGCAGTATTAGCTCTTGTACTCTCTTTTTCCCCTCTACCTTTCCCTCTATGAGTGTCTCTCTCAGCTCCAGTCACTTCAGGATGCTGGGGATACTTCTGAGAGACAACTGCTAACAGATTTGAAAATAAGAATGATAAATACGAGTGATTAGAAGAAGTCTGGTGACTCACCTAATCATAGTCTGTCCCAAGTTAATGTGGTCCAGGGGATGGAAAAGGAGAGCAGACGCCATACAGATAACCTAACCTGAGCCCTCCCTCACCTAGCATTGGGAAGACTTGGATTTCACCTGGCAAGATGCACAGATCCTTAGCCTGTGATCCAAAAGACTGGGAAGGTCCCTAAGGAGTCTAAAGCTATGCTGTGGCCAGTGAAAATTTTTAACTAACTTTCCCCACCCATTTCAAAGTACAGCCATGGCCTCCCTGCCCCAGGGAACCCCAGGAGCCCCCATCTTGCTGTTGGAGAAGGGAAAGTCTCTGTCTCATCGCCCAAGCTAAGTTCCTACCTAGATTGGAAACCTGCTTTCTCTGAGCTCTTTAGCCAGGGCCTAGAAGATGAAGAAACCCGTACTGCTGGCTGCCAAGGAAGATCTATTAGACTGAGGCACATCTCACTAACGTCTTTGTGCTTCTTGGCATAGAGGGATCCCTGACTACCCTCATTAAGCTTCTACTCACTGCCTTACCCTTGTCTACTCTGCTGTGTATTGACCCTTGCAGTCTTGGGAGGGTGAGGGTGGTGGAGGAAGAACAGGAAGAGCCTGCTCAGTCAGATGGGCTGTGAACTTCCAAACAAGCAGGTCTAAGTTAGTCTTTTGTGGCCCCGCAGAGCCAGTCCCTTCCATGAGGTACTTCTCTGTCATGCTGGAGCACCCACTGGAGTTGAAGTTTTCTGGAAAGGACTGAAAGGGCTACTGGCCTTCAGGACCAGTCAGAAAGGCTGAGGTGGGGTCAAGGTAAAGGTCAAGGCCTAGGCCCTATCTTCCACCAGAGGTTTCTCGGGTTTGTGAATCAGGAATGAATGATGTCCCCTCCGCCCTGCAAAAAAAAGCAACTTTTCTTTTGAGGGGTTGGGGGTTAGAGAGAGGAAAAACATCCCTCAGGCTCAGTACCCTGAGGAAATAGGGCAGGGAGTCCGAGAGGATTCAAATGGCTCCTGATCCCTTTGCTGCAGAGGAAGTGACTAGTTCTAGAAGGATCCCCAGTTTATTTCGCCCTCTCCTCTTTTTTTATTAGATGTTTAGTTCAACTGATTAGTGTTTATATCCAACTTATCCCTGGGAGGGGGGAAGAGAACAAAACAAACAGTACCCCTAAAAATAAAGCAGAACAATTTCCTTGCCTTTTCTCCAAACCTGACCTTTAAAACAGATCACCTGTCTACAAACTCCTTTCCTGTTTCACTGAAAATGCCCACCCCACCCCCCAGAAGTCCTGGCCATGCCAGCCTCCTAAATGATGAAATATATCTGCCAAGTTTCCTCCACAGTGGGTAGGAGGAGGTAGGAGTACCATTCTCTACCCTGCCCCAACAATGAGTTAACTCATCACAAGGCACCTTTCCCCAAGAGGAAAGCCGGAGACATGGAAGCTTCTTCCTCGTTTGGCTAGCAGGGCTGCTAGAGGAGGGATGAATGCAGGGTTTGAGACCCTACTGCCAAGATAAAGAGTCCAATCACCAAGTCCAGAGACGAGATGCATAGATGGAGGTGAGCTGGGAGGACGCTTGGAGTCTAGGGGTTCTTTGCACTGGAGAAACACATCAGGAGCTCTCATGCAGGTTTTAGGGGAATGGAAGGGACCATCTGAGAAGAGGAGAAGGTCCATCCTTTTCCTGAGGAACAGGATCAAGCCAGGCTTCACCTGAGAATGGGTGGCAGAGGTGGTGCTCCACGGACAGCTGGAAAAAAACAAACAAACACACACACACATACACAAAGGTCACCCACTAGACCCTGAATAACCCAAAATTCCTGAAATGAGAGAGAGACCCTTTAAGCTAGTCTTTGAATTTGGGGAACTGGGTTTTGTTGTTGTTTGGTTTTAATAAAATGAAGATAAGGATAATTATATTTCACCACATTCTGTGCAGTTAAGGAGGAGCATTCATTACTACTATTCTCACCTCGATTTGTTTTGCTGGGGTATATTCTCTGAAAGTGTTTATATTCTTCTGGAGCAGGAAAGTCTTCTACTGGATGGAAGGAATACTTTGACTCAAAATCATCTGAAAAAGAACAGAATATTTGTACCACCCTTCCTCGTGTTCCCACAGACCTCTGTATCACCGTGACTCTCCCTTTCCCAGTCTCCTGTGCATTCGGAGATACTGCCAGGCCTGCCTCACCTCGTAAACCAGTTCTTGAGAACAGAAGAGCAGCACCCTACACGCCACACACACTCAAAGGCTCTTCAAATTAAGGAGTGAATCCTTGGGCTGATTCTTAAAACCTTTCCACCAAAATTCAGGCACAAAACAGGAAAGAAGTGCAACTGTTTGTACAGGAGCAGAAAGAAAAAGACCCGTGTTTCAGTAACATGGTCCTCTTACAGACTGTCACCATGGGAAGCCAAGTGAACTGAATCTACAAATTGATAGAAAATAACCTAAAATAGGAATACTTGTCTCCAGCTAGTTAGAGATTTGGCCAGATAATTCCCTTTTGACTCAGGTTACTCTCATGTAGCTCTGCGACACAGCTGGGATAGCCATCTCTTGGCCCCCCTAAAAGGTAGCTCAAATTTTCTGAGTGTGGCTTGACCACATTCCAAGGGTTTCCACACTAAAGACATATCTTTAAAGTAATAACCCTGGATGACTGGAGTCAGCAAAGTCAGCACAAGAACTAGGCGACTTAAACAGCTTAACTACTCACCCAAGAAAGATCGGACAGTGGTAATAGAATCTCTGTGGCCATTCCTCAGGGGTGGTGGAGGAGGAGGTGGCCCAGCTGGCGTCCTTGAGGGCGGAGGTGGGGGCTTTCCTCGGCTCAGGGGTTCTGACCCATGCATTCGGTATGGTGGAGGGGGAGGGGGAGCATCCCTGGCACCATTTCGAATCATGGGTGGTGGGGGTGGAGGAGCTGCAATCGAAATCCAAAGTAGTTAGGCTTGGATGTAGAGATAGCAAGGGGTAGAGGGATTTGAGAGACATGGGGTAAAAGAGTTCCTTGGTGCTCTGCCAAAGAACCAGGCTCTGAGAGCCTCTGGGTAGCATTAAATATCATATTCACCCTCCCCTTCATCCCTGTTTCTTTAACAGCATCACCACTCTCCCAGATGCCAAGGTTCAGAATAAAAGTATGACTCTTTTTCATTCCCCACGACAAGTAAGTCAAGAGCTCCACCAATCTTGATGACTTTTTTCCTGCTTTTTCGTATCTTCCTCCACAATTCTAATTCAAGTCTTTCTCATATTTAGTCTGGTCTACTGCAAAAGCTTCCAAAATGTTTGCCCTGCTTTCAATCTCTAATCCCTCCATTCTGCACATCACCAACTCACTAATCTCCCTAAAATACTTGCTCAAATTTTTTCAAGGGCTTTTCATTTCCTACATCATAAAGTCTCAAATCCCCTCTTCTGCACCTCCACTGAAGCCTATACATATCCCTACCACTCTATCGTATTATGATTAGTCATTATACTGTCCCTCTCCCCCAGTATAGTGTGTACTCCTTAAAGTCAGAGCAGTGTCATTCATCTGTGTTTCCAAGCACAAACGTACAGCACGTGGTAGGTAATCAATGTTTGCTCAATAAACTGAATTACAAGTGTTTTGCTCTTGTGACTTCCCCTACAATACTCTGAAATGCCATCCCTCACCTTATTACCAGATTGTATCTATCCTTCAAGGTTCAACTAAAGTCCCATCTTTTCAAGACTTTCCCAAACCAGCCCACTCTATTCTGATCCTCTCCTTTGCTTTCCCACAGCATGTAGAGGCTCTGGCACTTATCCTGGCACTTACTAGTACAGATTAAAATGAGTGATTTTCAAAATACATATAGGGGGAAGCTAACCAATGTTCACCTTGGGAAGTTATACATTCTCCAATGATACTGTCATCACTCAAGAAAAATTGGGAATGGCTCTTTTGGAATTACCACACCCATAAATACCATTATATGATGGTCACATTTCATTTCTGAGGTTGCTCCACCACCACCACCAAAAATATTTGTACTAGGTCTAACTCTACTTTTTGGCCATTTGTAAAAATCAAATCCACCCTTAAAAGACAAAAATTTGCCACCAAGTAAAAGCAAGTGTAAAGAAATGGCAACACATGCTGGGCGGAGGGCTCTGGGGACCGTGGTCTCGGGGAACATCTAGCTCAATTGGCATGACACTACTTATAAAGACAACGCTCTACATTCTACCTTGGTGAGTAGTGTCTGGGGTCTTAAAAGCCTGTGAGCGGCCATCTAAGATACTCCACTGGTCTCATCCTTTCGGGAGCAAGGGAGAATGAAGAGAACAGGACACAAGGAAAAGATTAGTCCAAAGGACTAACTGTCCACAGCTACCAAGGCCTCCACCGGACTGAGTCCAGGACAGCTAGATGGTGCCCGGCTACCACCGCTGACTGCTCTGACCAGGATCACAACAGAGGGTTCTGGACAGAGCTGGAGAAGGACGTAGAGCATAATTCTAACTCACAGAAAAAAAAAAGACCAGATTTACTGGCCTAAAGGAGACTAGAGAAACCTCGAGAGTATGGCCCCCAGACACCCTTTTAGCTCAGTGGTGAAGTTACCTCCGAGGTTCACTGTTCAGCCTGGGAGTGGACAGCCCTGTAAAACCAAATGAGACTAACGAGGTACAGGAGCCAAGTGACAAGGGCCAGAAGGCAGAAGGGGAGAAGGAAGCTGATGATAGGGAACACAAGGTTGAGTAAGGATATTGTTGATGTGTTGTGAGATTGTTAACCATTGTCACAGGGCAACATTGGTAGTAACTATTAAATGAGAAGCTATTTTGTTCTATAAGCCTTCATCTTAAGTGAGAATAACAGCACAATTGGAAGAGTGTCATCAATGTCACTGAACTGTGTATGCAGAAATCTCTGAAACGGTGTATCTTTGGCTATGTGTATTTTCACCAAAAAAAAAAGGTTGAGAATTTAGAGGGTTAAAATGTTGTGGGGTTGTTAACCAATGTCATAAAACAACATGTGTACTACTGTTTCATGAGAAACTATTTGTTCTGTAAGCCTTCACCTGAAGTACAATAAAATATAAAAAAAAAGAAAAGAAATGGCAACATCAATGAATTAGGTATAAAGCCTCCCAATGACAATATCAATGGAACAGGCTCTGATGTGTTTAAATTCCTATGCTTCGCATTAACTAATAATAATAGCAGCTACGATTTACTGGGTATTCGTTATATTTTAGGCACTGTCCTGAGCACTTTATATGCATTAAATATTAAAAAATTCTTACAACCACTCCTGGAAAGTATGTGGTATCACCCCCATTACACAAATGAGGACACTGAGACTCAGGTTACCTGACTAGGGTCAAAGACCTAATAAAAATAGACCCAGCACACTCCTGCTCTCTCCACTATCCCTGCCACATTGCTTTTCATAGCCACCTCAAGTATTATGTATCTTATCTCCCCAACCAGATCTACAACTCAGTGAGTTAGAAGTGTGTCTTTTGGTACCTAGGTGGTGCTGAATACCCCTAAACAGTACACGGAGAAGACTACTCGGCTTAACAGACAACATATTGTTTTAGTAATAAAAGTATATTTCATTATTTCTCCTGAATTACTGTCGGAATTTCAGTAGAGTGACCATAGTTAAGTATATAACATAGCAATGGGATGATGTTCATATACAGGGAAGGAGTTCGGCACAGTAGGTCCAATAAACGTTAGTTTTCACTTCCCGTGAGACAGATTCAGAATGTCAACTCTCCCTCACTCTTTTCAAAGTCTGTTTAAGTATGAGTAGGATCCTTTAGGGGCAGTTATTAAAATCACCTTAACATCTCCCACCACATCTCTGAGCCTTGTTTTTATTCCAAATCTGCCAAACCAAAGCTCTTTCAGGTCACGCTCAAAATACTTCCCTAAAACCCAGACTTCTCAAGGCCCTGAGTGTATCTACTACAAGGGAAAAGCTAAGGAGAATAAGGTGGACAGTGTTAGTTAGCTAGGCTGAAAAGGACACCAGCTAGACCCTGAGCAGGTGGCAGTGATGAGAGCCAACCTGGGCTGGCAAGATACAGGAGGACCAAGAGTGACCTGTTCGGCTCCTTCAGCTCCTTCTCTCAAGGAGGGTCATCCCAACCAGGTTCCACTATCTCCAACAAGTTCCTGAGCTCCTTGTCAGATCCAGTTTTACAACTGTTTTCAAGTGACAGAGCCAGAACCCAAGGAACTTAAGAAACAATCAGTTTACAAATGAAGCCCTGGGGTAGGAAAGAGTAAATTCAAGATAACCCTAACTTTGAGGAAAGCATGATGGTATCAAGTCTTTCAAAAAAAGAAAGAAAAAAAAAAAATCCCTTTAAAATGGGCAGTTTTTTACTCTACAAAGGAAAAATTCCGGAAATAAACTATATACCAATACGCAAGTTTTTTGTTTTTCTTTTTTTAACCTACAATTTTTTTTAACATAACCTGCACAACAACACTTTGAGATGGGTATTTTTATTCCCATTTTACAGATACGAAACTGAAACTGTCAGAGTAAAAACTTACAACTTTCGCAACCTGAAATTCTAATACCAGTAGAACAGTTGCCGTGGAGTCAGTTTTGACTCCAATACATAGGTTTTTTGATCTCCGAGAAGACTGCAAATGCAAACAGTTCCTATAGAAGCAAAAGTACATAATATTGTCATGATATGATTTAATAACAGTGATCAGTCTATGAACTACCTGGAAGCCCTCTGCATAAAACCACTAACAATTTATCAGTACACTACAGTTTACAAAAGACCTTCACATCTACTTTTGATTTTACAACCACCTCTGAAAGTACTATTAACACTATTCTACAGATGGGGAAACAAACTCAGAGAACCAGAGTGATCTGCCCAAGGCCACACAACAAATAGAGCTATAATACTGAAAAGACCTCCAACTAAAATAGCTCACTTTTTCCCAGCGTATGACTCATCAAACTAATCACTGCTCTGGTTACTGATATGGAAAGTGGGCTGAGGCCTCTGGTAGGCCTCAAAGTTGATGATGGCTAACGGACAGGAAAACAAGGCGCATAACTTCAAAATTTTCTCAAGAAACCACAAAGAACTGAGACGTGGGAAGCAAGAAGTCTGCAGACATTTAAAGCTACTCAGCTCAGCCCACAGATATTGCGTTTTTCTCTACTTTTATTCCTGGCTTAGTAGGAAAAGACATGGGCTCTGCTGAGATAATGGGTCTCTTAAAAAATCCCTAAGAGTTAAGTAGTTGCATGGGCAGCAAAGTCGAAAACATTTACTACCTGCCCTTTACAGATACGTAAACCAAAAGCCCACTGCGGATGAGTCGATTCAGACTCATAGCGACCCTACAGAGCAGGGGAGAACTACCTCATAGGCTTTTCAAGGCTGTAGTCTTTATGGAAGCAGACTGCCACACCTTTCTCCCTCAGAGCAGCTGGTGGGTTCGAACCACCAATCTTTCAGTTAGCAGGTGAGCACTTCAACCACTGTGCCATCAGAGCTCCTACTTATAGATACACAGTGTCATTCAAATGTGTTCCCTGGGTCACTCAATTCTCCTGGATTGTTTCTTTTCCCTGTGGTGAATAAATGTGTTTGTTTTCATGTGTGAAAAATACCACCCTCATTCAAAAAATTCTTTATAACCATGTGAAAAACATCAGATGGGATGTTCCTACCTGTTCCAACAATAAATTAACAAACATTAAAAGAAGAAAAAATTAAAATCTGAACTTTGTAGAATTAACGGCCACCTTAGGACTAGAGCTAGGGAGACAGGGGTCAGGATGCATCAGTCTACTGTTTGACTACGCTACATTCGACCTCCAGCTCCTGGAGTACACATCTGTAAGTACCTATCCAAGCAGCCCAGCTTAAAGGGCTTTTAAGGCTTCTTGATGACAGGACTTATTTACCATTGTTCTATAACTGCAGGGGCTGACTGTTTAAAAGCTCAAAAGCCATTGATGAAGGGTGTGGCTCGAAGTCCAATGATACAAGAATACCAAAACCAAATTAAACCCATTGCCATCCAGTCGATCCTGACTCACAGCGACACTACAGCTCAGAGTAGAACTGTCCCATAGGGTTTCCAAGGCTGTAAATCTTTACTGAAGCAGACTGCCATATCTTTCTCCTAAGGAGCAGACGGTGGGTTCAAACAGCCAGCCCTCTGGCTAGCGCTTTAACCACTGTGCCACCAGGGCTCATGTAGATCTAAGAATAAGAAAGCCAAAATTCCTGGATCTAAGAAGGCCCCAGACAGCTGTCTCCAATTTCAGTCAACCTGTTTTTTGGAAAGATTACACAACTTGTTTTACCTTTTCTAGGTTCCCTGGAAGAAGTTTACATCTTTAATTCCCTCCTTAACCAGTTTAAGCTCCAGAGCCCATTATTAAAATCGCTCCCTTGCAAACACCCTTCGCTCTCTCCCTTAATCCCTCTCTCCCTTAATCCCACATGCCTAAAATATGCTAACCCTGGTTAAATACAACTCTGCAGGTAATCTGTTCCTGCAAATGCAGAGTTGAGCACACACACCATGCTGGTTAATCTCACTGTAAATGTATGGCCCCTAATCTCAAGTGGGTTTTCCCACACTGCTGGCAACCTGCTACATTTCCCTAGTCTAGCCACTCTCCCACACTCCCAGATGACCATTTCATACCTCTCTCTCCTCAAATCTCCTTGCCTCACCTCACTCTCAGGTAATGGCCTTGCTTTCTATTACACTGAGAAAACAGAAGCAAATCAGAAGAAACTTCCACAAGTTCCTACCATTACAGACCCACCTACACACTTGCTTCTATGCCTGTATGTTCTGCCTTCCCTCCTGTTATCATGGAACAAGTATCTGCGTTCCTGTCAGGCAAATTCCTTACCTACGGATCAGATTCCATCCCTTCTTGCCTACTCAAGGACATTATTCAAGCAATTTGTTTCTTCTCTCTCAATCAATTTTTTTCCTAGTAGATCATTCCATTAGCATATAAACAGGGGCAGGGGTGAGGAGGGAAGTGAAGGAGGGTGGGAGTAGGGAATCCTCTTCCAGAACCACTCCATTTATCTGCCTCCCTTCACAGTAAAACACAAGGGATTTGTGCATTGCTATCTCCAATTCCTCTCCTAGCCCTGCTTGAACCCACTCCAATTGGGCTTTCACCTTCACCCTCCACCACTCCACTGACATTACTCAAAAAGGTCCCGTGTTACTTGGATATCCAAAAAACGACTCCCATGTTCCTAAAACCGGTATCAATTTTCCGTCTTCAACTTACATGACCTATCTGCAGCACTGGACACAGCTGATCACTCCATCTTCCCTGAAAGACTTTTATTAGCATCTGGGATACTCTCTTGGTTTTCCTCCTCCCGTCCTCACTGGAAGCTCCTTCTCAGTTTCCTCTGCTGGGTGCTCCTCATCTCTCTTACCTCTAATGTAGGTGTTCCCAGACCTCAGGCCTCTTCTCCATCTATAATCACTCCCTAGGTGATCTCATCCAGCACAGGGTAGTTTTCAATACCATTCAAATTTATCTCTCTAGCCCAGACATTCCCCCTGAACTTCAGAGTTTAATAGCCAACTGCCAATTCATTATCTCCTCTTGAATGTCTCAAACTTAGCCAAAAATGAACACCTATCTTCCCCTCCAAACCTGCTGTGGTCTTAACCATTTGCCTGGTTTATTGCAACAGCCTCTCAAGTGGTTTCCTTTCACCCACCCCCCATGCCCTACTGCAGTCTGTTCTCAACACAGGAGCTAATGATCTTTTTAAAAGATAAATGAAATCATGCCACTCCTGCTCTCAAAACTCTCCAGGGGTTCCTCATCTCGTGCAAAGTCTTTACAAAGTTCTGCAATGTTTTCCCATGGAGGTCTAGCTTTCTAACCGCCACTGTTGCCACTGTTACCTCACTCATTCTATTCCTGCCACACTGGCCCCCTTGCTATTCCTAGAATATGTCAAGAACACTCCTGCCTCAGGGCCTTTGCATATTCTGTTCCTAATGTCTACAACAGCTATTCACTCAGACAGTTGTTTAGCTTACTGTATCACTTTCTTCAAGTCTCTGCTAATCTGTCACCTTATCAGCAAGGCTTTCATTGACCCTACTCCCACCCCAATTTTTTAAAATATCATTACCTTCCCACCCAGTATATCCTACTCCCTTTCTCTGCACTGGTTTCTCTAAAGCATACTACATACTATGGATCTATATACATATTTTACCAGTTTATTTGTTTGTCTGTCCATGACAGCAGGAATTTTTTTGTCTTCTCTATGTACTGCTATTTCCCTAACACCTATAACAGAGCCTGCAACATACAAAGGCGCTCAATAAATCTGTTGAATGAACTGACGACTTCTTATTCTTTTCCATCACTGAAGGGAAGCTTTGAGAAAAACAGTATAGGGGGAAAAGAAGTGCTTCCAGGCACTTACCTGCTCCTCGACTGGGAGGGTCTCGGGCTGGGGGAGGTGGCCTATTACTCTGTAGAGAGGGAGAGGCTGAGGTGGGTGGAGGAGGTGCTAGGCCTCTGACAGGCCCTGGAGTCTTCCTATGCAAAGAATTGTGTCTCTGTGGCAGCTCAGGGGCTGACTCATTAGTAGGACTGGAAGGTCCATTGGGGACCCCAGGAGGCTGGCGGTAAGGCGGCGGAGGAGGAGCCAGAGACTGGCCACTTGGTCCTGTTCTGATATTCACAGGGGAAGGAGGTGGTTTGACTGGGGGAGGAGCAGGAGGTCCCTCTCGACCAGAGTGAAGCCTTTGTCCAGGTGTCGGCGGCAAAGGTTTCTCTCTATTGTAGGCTGGGGTTTTGCTGCTGTGCACAGGCAGAGGTGTAGGGGGTGCATTGGCACGCCTCCCTGGGGGGGGTGGAGGAGGGGCAGAGGAGCTGTGCTTCATGCCGGTACTGCTGGTGGTATTAGGCCGGGAGAGGTCTGGTAAAGAGGGTCTCTGCATCCTGGGCAGTTCTGGGAGTGAGGCTCGACTGCTGTCTGTATCATCTTGAGGGCGGCCGCTGGCTGAAGACACCGGAGGCCTTGGGGCAGCAGCTCGAGAACTGGAGGCTTGCAGGGCTGGTTTTCCAGCTAGGTTCTCTATAAATACACCAGACAGAACTGGGTCAACAGAGCTAGGTATATGTTGGTTAGTATGTCTACTTCACCCATCCTCCTCAGTGCAATCTGCACGGCAGCAAGGAAAGCTCTTGCATAGTTCTAGGTTTTAATCCAGTGGCGGGGTCAGGGCCCATTAACAAATATTACTGATATACATTAAACATATTTTTATTTAATTCCTCAGCTTTCGCTTTATTCTACTTTATAACTCCTCCCCTGCTCCCACTCCTCCTTCCACCTCTACCTCACTTCTGAATCCCATTTGGCCCACTTGGAACCAATGAGAAATTAATGCACTTGCTTAAGGGACACTGAGCTTCTGTTAAGGGCGATGGAATAATTTGCAAATGGTAGTGGTGATGATTGAACAACATGATGAACACAGTTAATGTCACCGAGTCGTACATGTAAAAAATGCTGAGATGGCATGTGTTTTGTTACATACGTATTTATCACACACACAAAAGATTTAAAGACAAGAAAAGATATATTGCTTGGGGTGGGGGGAGAAATTAATGCACTTGGAAAATATCTTAAGAAAGTACTTATCCAGTACCTGAAACGTCCTTGGCTCCCACAGGTCTGAGCTTCGGCACACCTCCTTGGAAGAGACCTCCCTTGGGCTGCAGGGCAGCTGCTCCAGAGCCATAACCACCACTGCTTCCTTTAGGCTCTGGAAAGCACACCGTTAGGGTTTTCATTTCACATGCTCTGAAGTAGTGACCAAATCAATCCTGAGGAGAAAACCCTTCTCTATCTGGGCTTTAATTTGCAAACAAACCAATCTTGCTTCTCCATAAAAAAAGCTAGGCCTCTCTGTTCCACAGCTTCGTGTGGAGATGAAACTTCACTGTGATGAAAGAGAAAGAACAAAAGGAACAAGGAGCCGATCCTCCCTTATTTAAGGCACTGGGATAACTGGAATGAAAAATGTTTGGCAGAACTCTCTGGCCTCTCCTTTCCAAGTTCTAGATGGTAAGGGGGCTAACGGCTCAGGGACCCAGGTGTGAGCAAACTCTGCAGAGGCTTACAGGAATGGACACTTGTAGCAATTATAAAAATATCCTTGGCTTCAGCCGAGAGGTTTCTAGGAATAAGGGGATCTCCTTAGAGAACAGTCAAGGATGTGCCCCTATTAAGCATCTAGTTACAATAGGAGATGGGACACTTAACCCTGAGAATGCTTCCCAAAGGTGAAGAAGAAACTTCTAAGGTATTTAAGTGAGCAGGTGGGAAGAGAGCCAAAAGATACTCCAGGACAAAACTCTCCCACTCAGGACTCAACAACGACAGCCAGACAAGTCTCCAAGTCAATCCTGGGATCCTGGTGATTCAAGACTAGGAAATAAAGCTTAGACTCACTCTCGAGGATGGGAGCACTCCTATCATTAATGTTGGTCACCTTCTTCAGCTTAGTCCCTTTGCAGATGTCCTGTAAGAGGGCGCCTCGACCCCGCTGCTCATCTCTACTCAGCTTGGGCTGCACTGTGTTTGCCTGGAGGAAGAGGAAAATGTTAAGTTCACCCTAAATAGTCCCCTTCCATCACAAGTTTGAGATAAATGACTTCAGTTAAACTGGGTTCCGTGAGAAGGATGACACAACCTCCCCTAGCATTCTGCCTGTCTAACCTAATCAAATATACATTTGATACAATTATCATTGATACAATCATCATTCTTCTTAGCTCTTTTTCTCCTTTTCCACCTTCTGTGAAGTGTGTGAGTCTCCCTCCTATTCAGAAGCTTATGACAGGGGGCCTGCACTAATTCTTACTGAGTACCTATGTGTTAGTCATAGTGTTAGATGCTTTATATGTATCATCATCATCGAGGCAAACGTATACTGAGCCCGTACTATGTCTCAGCTATTGTGCTAAGTACATTACTTCATTTAAATCAAGCCCCTAAACCAGTCATTCAAATCTCCTTCCTCTTCCTCATTCACCAAACTCTTTACTTTCTAAGTGTCTTTTGAATTCATCCTCCACTCTCCATCCTCACTGCTCCAGTCTAGACCCTCAATTTTCAACACCCAATTCACTGTCCACACTGTTAAGAGTGACCCTTCTAATACAAACTCAATCAGGTCACTCCTGCTGCTGCTGAAAATACTTCAACCCCTTTCCATCATCACTAGGAAAAAAAATCCAAACCCTCAGCCAACACCTTCAGCTTCATTTCTCACCACATCCCCTCAAACAATAATCTATACCCAGTCTACTTTCTCACAAATCAGCACCCTTCCACATTCTGCATCCTCAACTTCTAAGTGCCCTTCCTCCCTCTACGCTTTCTGGCTAAACTCTACTTATCCTGTAAGACTCAAGTATCACTTCCCCTCTAGATGCCTTCTTTGACTGCCTCTTTTTTAACTATATAAATATTTTCTTGTTGTAAAAGAGTCAGGTAATACACATGTATAGAGTAAAATTATCTGGATTTTCTAAAATTTTGTACCTAGCTGAGTCCCTGATACATAGTCTCTGTGATGAAATGAGTTCCTGTATGTGGCCTTTTGCTTTGGTTCTTCGGAAAAACAGCTTGAGAGATTTTTCCCCTAAACCCTGAGAAGTTACCTTTGCCCTAGTTTTCTATCCCTGAGGGTTTGTTACTTTTGACCAGGTTGACTGACATTTCTTAGGTAAACTGTAAACCACTTGTGGTTTGATACTTTTTGTCTGGTCCTGGGCTGTAGCCTGCCCTGTGACTGGTATGCACCTTGCAGGAATTGGTCACTATATTATGTAAATGAAGTAACTATAGACTATGCAAATGAAGTTACCACAACCTACTTTGCAAATAAAGCATCTATGGCCCTCCGAGAGGGGATTGGTCAGTTTCGACTGGTCAGTTCATGGCTCTGGTGGAAGGGCCATGTCTTGAAACTGACGAGGGGTTTGTGTATATTTGCAGCCAACCCCACAGAGGTTTTTCAGACAAGCAGCAGGAAGCAGCAGAAATGAGAAAAGGCAAGAGAGAAGAAGCAGAGAGAAAGGAGGCAAGAAAACTCCTAAAAGAACTGTAACACAAGTCAAGGGCTGTTAACACAAAAGACAGTGACAGGCCCAGAAGGAGTCCAGCAGCAGAGTCAGTGGTGACAGAGGGCAGAGCAAAGAGGAGCCTGTCCTGAGGGGACTGAGAGAAGGCCTGCATGGCCAAGAGGAACTGAGAGAGCTGCCCTGCCCTGAAAAAGGGAAATTTTGCCTACATGATTCCTGATCCTGATCCCAAGTAGTAACTTGTTACTTCTTAATAAACCATTTAACTTCATCTTCACCTTAATCTCTCACCACATCCCCTGAAGCAATCATCTAAACTGTAAGTATAGACTGTGAGTTCTGTGTGGCCATTTTAACAAATTATCAAAGCAGAAGAAATGCAGAGTACAGCGGGAGGAATGGCTAGTGTCAGAATTGGTAAAAAGGCTGGAGAGTGTAAGTATGTCTGACCTCCATCTCGTGGGACTCAGCTTTGGGCTGACCCTGGTTATTATCCTCCTTGGTGTTAGATAGTTTCTGATGCCATTTTACAGACCCCAAGAAAAAGCTACTGAGTGAATGACTAAGACAGCATGGGCAGTAACCCACATGGAGATTCAAGGAGACACTATGGGTCCTCAAATCCCGCTATAACCAGAGAAACTCTACTTTTATCTATTTCACTTATTGGGCTTCCACACAGAATTTCATCTACAAAGGGGGTTCAATCCTTAAATAAAATGTAAGTAAACCAGAGATTAATGGAAAAAACACTGGACCAGAAGTTGGCAGACCTGAACTCTAGTCCTAGCTCTGAAACAAATTAGCTAGGCAAGTCACTTTTCCTCTTCAGGGCATAATTTCTCATCTGTTAAACAAACAAACACACACACAGACACACACAGACACACAGACACA